CTACGCTTTGTCCACATCACCTCAACTACGCTTCTCACATATTCCAGGTACGGATTATTACCCCCACTTTAAAACCATCTTTTATACCCGATGGCAATCTTTTTGGTCAAGACTCTACAACAATAAATTACATACCGTAAGACCATCAATCTCCTCTTGGTCAGCTCCATTTCACAAAAAGCAGACGTTGGGAGACGGCCCTCGCACGCTTACGTATTGGCCACACTCGCCTAACACACGCCTATCTAATGTCACGCTCAGACCCGCCCCTATATCCTCGCTTCACCGATCTCCCAACATATCAGACATCCTTACAAAATCCCACAGCTTCTGCCTTGACAATTTGTTCTCCTTCCTCAAACGCATAAATATCCTTCACTTGATCTAACTCCCTTACCTAAACAAACATAACCTTTTCCCCCATCTTCAACCTTTCAACACTACTCTAGATAGTTGACACATAGCAACTATCACCTGACATCCCCCTTTACTATACCTTCCTATAGTGCTATATGACCTTAGATGTCTAGCACATTTATTTTAACCATTAACCATTAACCGATATCAATCCTCCTCCTACTCCCTCCCAACACAACCCATTCCCCTCAACACCAGCTTCTACCGATATCCATCCTCCCCCTCCTCATATTTCCCCTACACCACTCCCTCCGACTCCCTCCCAACGCAACCCACCCCCTCAACTCTAGCTATACGTACATTTTCCCTCCATCCATCCCTTCTATCATTCCCACTCCCTCGATCGTTCCTGTCTCGTTACAGTTACATCTGAAACCCAAGCTATAGCATTATCTACTCTAACTGATCTCTCTAGCAACCCCATTCCTGCAGAACCTCATCCAAGCCTTAATATTTGTACCGGAACAGTCTGTATCTCCCCAGCAAACTGCCTTGTCGATACCAAAGACTGGTCAGATTGTGGAGAAGACTTACTCGCCTGCCTCACGGACTATGATGTGATATCAGTACAGTGCTTCTCCATTCCTCCAAGAGGTCATCATAAGAACCCCACCAACATTGCCAAAATTACTTTCCGTAGACATGACCTTCCCTTTAATGTCTACATTGGTGGAGAAACCCTCCCTGTCCGACCATATCAACCTCCTCCCCATCTATGTAAAAACTGTAGGCGTTAAGGACATCCTGCCAAACACTGCCGTTCCACAGCCCGATACCCCCTGTTTGCCCAACCTGGTCATAACCTATCAAACTGCTCTGCGCAATCACGCACATGCGCTAACTGCGGCGGCCCTCATAATGTATTTTATAGAGGCTGTCCCACTTACAAGTTTGTCTGAGGTGGCAACTTTCAGATACAGACATGGTCTCACTCTGCGTGAAGCCAGACAGGAAGCACGTTGACGAGGTTTCTATCATACTCCCTACTCCAGCAATGTCGCTCGCTCTGCCTCTCCCCCTCCCACCCAAGATGTTCCTACACCCTCCCCTATACTTACATCTTACTTCCCCACTTCAACCTCCTACCTCCCCAGTCAAATGCTTTTGCCACTCTAAATCCAGACACCTTCCCCTCTCCCTCCTCGCACTACCCGCAGCAGACAGACTAAACGTTTCACTGCTTCTTCTCCTACCACACACTCACCTCCACCTATCTTTGCCTTTACTCCTCAGACACCAGTCTTCCCCCCCTCCCCCCATAAGAAAACCTTTGTCTCACAAAACTCTCCAACCAACTCCACTGCAGAAACTCTTGAAGATATTGAAAATTATCTGCTCAAGTCCCAAAATGACACAGAAATCCCTTATCCATCCTCAAATTCCACAACTCCCGCTCCCTCCACACTCAAAGTGACTGCCTATATCCATTATCCTCCAACTTATATTCCCCCTATACCCCTTCCTCTTACTCCCTCCCAACACAGCCCATCCCCCACAGCTCCAATTACTGCCGATATCAATCCTCCTCCTACTCATATTCCCCCTACACCCCTTCCTCCTGCTGCCTCCCAATACAGTCCATCCCCGTCAGCTCCAACTACTCATACATTAACCCTCCCTCCATCCCCTCTATCCCTTGCACTCCCTCTTGGGTACACACGTGAATCCCTAATGCCACAACTACGCCCTTCTCCAGATCTTCCACCTCCTGATTCTACACCCCCCTCTAATTCTATCTATCACCCTTCACCACCCTTTACTGTATCTTCCTATAGTGCTATATGACCGTAGATGTCTAGCACATTTATATTGTTCTTTTAACCATTAACTATGCCATCTGTCACCATGCCATCTCTCTCTCGTTGCCGTGCCCTTCTCTTCCTTCGTTGCTATGCTCGCTTCCACCAATTTTCCCTCGCCAAACTAATTATTCCTCGATTTCTGCCTTGTACATATTCTTCTTATCCACAAGTACTTATTCCTTTCTCTATTCGCACGGATATTCTTGTCTCCGATTTCCCCTTTCCCCATCTCTTAACTCTTTTCTTTCCTGTCCATTTTGCTCCTCCATGTGCCCTTCATGCAATATCCTTCTTTCTGCCCCACATATCCTACTATCCTGCCTCCGCTTTACCGAAGCCCGTACCTCTACTCACCCTCACATATCCCTTCTTCCCTGACTCCCAACCTATCAGACATCCTCACATAATCACCAACCTTTTCTATTGATAGCCTGTTCTCCTTCCTCAGACGCATAAATGTCCTTCTTTTGATCTAACCATCCTTTGTCCTTAACCCTTCCTCTATTCATCAATACCTATCCTACCCCATTTACCCCTCTTTCTACTCCTTTCATTACTATACTATCTTGTAACATATGACAGTTGAAATGCAAGACATATGAGTTTTAACAAAGAACTTTAAAAACCCCTCCCACCACAATACAGTACCATAGTGCTGTATGACCTTTGATGTCTAGCACATTTACTTTCTTGTGTCATTATAATAATAATTATTATTATTATTATTATTATTATTATTATTATTATCATCATTATTATTATTATTATTATTATTATTGCTCCATGACTCATACCTTACCCCCGTATTTGCTCCTGTTTTCCCTGACCCACCAAAATCAGTCATTTCCTTGACCATGTCTCCACTCATTCCATCAGTACCCATGATTAAACTGATGACTCTAAATCCCTTCCCGGTACTGGTTTCGCTGTGATAATCTAGTTTAATTCCATTTGTTACAATTGTTATTTTGGTGCGACAGGCTGTTTGTTTACTTTGGTTCTGAATTACCCTCTGTGTCCAAAGGAAATGTTTAGGAATATAAATGATATCACTAAGAAAAAGTATTGTACAGCAGGTGGATGTTTGAAGACAAAAGATGGAAATATCATCATAGAAAAAGGGGCAATGATAGAGAGGTGGACAGAGTACATTTCAGACTTATTTCATGATGAGAGAGGAGACATGCCAAATCTAAGAAACAATATGACAGGTCCAAGAATTTTGCAATCAGTAGTTCAAGCAGCATGTAAAAAAATAAAAAAAAATAAATAAATAAATAAATAAATAAAAAATAATAATAATAATAATAACAAAGCAGTAGGTACAGACGAGTTAGCTGTAGAATTAATCAAATGCATAGGTGATTTTGGAATTCATAAACTAACGAAAATGCTTAACGAGATTTATGAATCTGGAAATATCCCTGCATTACCGAAAAAGCCCGCTGCGGCAGAATGTGAGCTGCACAGGAGAATTAGCATCATGAGTTATGTAGTGAAAATATTATTAAGGGTAATGATGAAAAGAACAAGAAACAAAACTAGACCTGAAATATCCAAACTGCAATGTGGGTTTGTAGAACGCGAAATGCAATCTTTATGATCAGAATGTTATCAGAGAGCTATTGAGATACAAAGAAACCTTTTCCCATGTTTTAAAGATTATAGCAAGGCTTTCGATAATGTCTAACACGAAAAACTCCTAGAAATGCTGGAGGATATCCAGATAGATGGTAAAGATCTAAGAATCAAGGAACCTGTATTGGAAGCAAACAGCTGCTATAAGAAATTGGCGGCCAGGTGGGCGAATATGTAGAAATAAAGAGAGGAGTAAGACAAGGATGCGTGATGTCAACCGACCTATTCAACCTCTATAGTGAGAGAGTATTAAGATAGAAGATATGCCAGGGATGGTTGTAGGAGGGAGCAATATTAATAACATCCGCTATGCAGATGATACGGTTTTGTTAGCAACATCGGTGGAAAAACTTCAAGGATTAGTGGATAATGTGGTCTTAGAAAGTGCAAAAAGAGGTTTATGTGTCAACACAAAAACGACAGAGTGCATGATAGTAAACCAAAGAGAAGAATATTCCATCATTTAACCTCTGGGTTCATAACACAAAAATAAAGCAAGTGAACTGGTTTAGTAACTTAGGAAGCTTGATCACATCAGATGGTTGGTGCGACAGGGAGATCAAACGAAGAATTGCAATGTCAAGAGAGACCTTTTCTAAAATAAAGAAAATTTTATGCAATCCAAAGATCCCCGTAGCAACAAGACTAAGGGTATTGGAGTGTTACGTGTTGCCGGTCCTAAAATATGGAAGTGAGACGTGGAATGTGTCTAAAGAAATGGAAAAGAGAATTAATGCATCCGAGATGTGGTTCTTGCGCAGATTTTTAAGAATAGCCTGCGAAAGTCATACAACGAATGAAGAAGTTTTAATGAAAGCAGACACTGAAAGGAAGCTGATGAAAACAATTAAGAAACAACTGCTACAGTTCCTTGGACATTGCATGAGAAAAGACGGAATGGAAAAGCTAGCACATACGGGCAAGATAGCAGGAAAAAGGGCAAGAGGAAGACAGAGGCTCACATTTCTCCAAAGCATTGCAGAATGGAGTGGGAGGTCAGCGATTGGGCTTATTCAGTGCACGGAAAGCTGGAATGATTGGCATAAAATGGTCGTCGATGTCATACGATAAGGCACTACAAGAAGAAGTGCAAGGAATGGCCGGGGTTACCATCCACTAGCAACGCGGGATTTGATCGCGTGTCAGCGAGATCGCTCGACGAGAACGCTACCACTGCATCACAACTCTGCACGTGCACAAGGTCTATATAAGTACTTATATAGACCTTGAACGTGCATTCAAATATCCTCCCTCCTGAGTCTAGTGTCCTTACTGCAGAACTGTTCGCACTCCCTTTCGTCTTAAAACGCATATACTTCCTTTCTTCTCACTATTTTTACTGACACCCGTTACTCATTAGCTATCATGCAGTTAGTGCACTCGATCAGCCACCTTGTCCGTAAGATTCAGGACTGGTTGTTCCCCCTGTCTACACGCTACAGATTTATCAGGCAGATACTCTTCGACAGTGGTTTTTAACCTTTTTACTACCACACCCCCTATAAAAATCTGTCCTTTCCCCACGCCCTCATTGCATCTAAGAATAAACCCTACAGATTGTAAAGGTAATTATAAATATGTTCTTAGTCCCTTTATTGAATAGGAATTAGTCACATTAATAATGAACTCATTACTTGACAATGTTCTACAAATATAATAAGAAAAATTTATTTTTCCCCAAAGGCTCCCGCCCCTCATGGAAATGACTGACATCCTCCAAGGGGGGCACTCTCCCCATGTTAAGAACCACTGCCATGTCCACATTATACCAACCCCAGTTCTCTCCTATTCCAGACACGGATTATTATCCCAACTGCAATGGTTAATAGTTAACAAGAAATAAAGGAAGAGGAACATTATTTACAGAAAATCACAAACAATGAACAGGTAATACGGGTAGAGATGGCTGTTAGAGAAGTAGTAGAAGAATCCGGGGAATGAGATAGGGACACTGGGGAAGGTGGCGAAGTATCAGAATGTCAGAAGGGGAGCGATCCGGAGAAAGACTGTTACGACTGAAGGGATTCACGTGAGTATCCAGGTTGGAATGGTATGGATGATGGGGAACGAAGAGGGAATGGTGCACATAGAGAAAGAGGTAAAAAGAGGAAGAGGGTAGGCGTCGGGGAAGTGATAGACAGGAGTATCTGAGTTTAGAGTGGAAAAAGAATTTGACTAGGGGAGAGGGGGAATAGGGGTAGGATGGTTCGGGGTAGAAGGGCTGACTTTGTGTTGAGGGGAGATTTTGTCATCTTGAGAAGGTGGGTGGGGAGCACACCAAAGAACAGTTTTAGAATAGGTATAGAGAAAAAAGCCGTCGCCGTGCTTCCTGTTTGGCCTCACGTAGGGAGAGGCCTAGTTTGAATATGAGAATTGTAACTTCAGATTCGAGCTTGTAGACAGGGCAATTCCTATAAAATACATATGGGAGCCACCACAATTCGAACACGTACTGACAGAGCAGAGCAATTTGAACGGGCATGACCAGGTTGGGTACATAGAGGGCTATGGAGCGACAGTGTTTGGTTGGATGGCTAAAACGCCAACATTTCTGAATGACGAGGAAGGGGTCAATATGGTCGGACTGGGCACAATATCAATATAAACTTCATAGTGGAGGTCATGTCTACGGGAGCTAATCTTATCATTATTGGTGTGATTTACGCTGGCCTCTGGGAGGAATCGTGTAGCACTGTACTGCAACTGCATCATAGTCAATAAGGCAGGCGAGCAGGTCATTTTCTGTCTGACCAGTCCTTGTTTTAGACCGGACAATCAGTGGGAGATGGAGTGGTTAATGTTAAGGAAGAGGAAGCGGTGTATTCTGAAGGGTGAATAATGACCTTGATGGATGATTTGGAATGGATAGAGTTATCAGTAACCATCGAGAAGGGAATATTAGTATCAGTGCCCAAAGGAGAGGCAGGGGTCGGGAAACCAAAAAAATACATGTAAATCGGATATTGATGAAGAGGGAAGCCTTAATTGCCCCTTATAATAGTAAAAAATCTTCATTTTTGGTCATGGTGAGCATGATATAAGTGGGGAAAGGAAAAGATCTACCCCTCAAGGTCCCCATAAGGGGCAAGGGCTAGCTTGGCTATTAACAAAGGGAATACCATACCCATAGCTCCCGGAGGATGTTCATGACTGACACAAAGCCAGTCTTGCATCTTTTCAGCACGGTTCTGACACCCAAGGAAGCTGACTGAAGAATGAGATGAAGAAAAGGAAAAGGAAAGGTTGATGAGACAATACCAAACAAAATTGGTTAAGACAAGGGCTGAAGTCCAGAGCAGGGTAATCCCCTATATTTACTCATCGTCTCCTAAGCCTCCCCCCCACGACAACAACGAGCAAGGGATTAGGGGAGTATCCCCACTTTAAGACACTCCTTTTGCCTGCTAGCAGCCTTTCTGGTCAAGCCTTCACATCAATAAATTACATACTGTAAAACTATCAGGATCCTCTTGGTCAGCCTCATATCATCAGAGGAGACGCTGGGAGATGGTCTTGCCCACTTGCAATTAAACTTTTTCTGTTGAGACGTTTTTGCAGTCTTGCCATTTTTTGAGATCTATATTTGTCTTGCTGTATTAAGATAGTAGTAGACTGTTATCTTTAAGCAAACACCAGATTATCTCTTTAGGTAGTTTCCAGTCTATACAACAAAAGTAAAAAGTGACATTGTTAATTGTGATATATATATATATATATATATATATATATATATATAGATAGATAGATATAGATAGATATATATATATATATTTTTTTTTTTTTTTTTTTTTTTTTTTTTTTTTAATAATTCAGTTTTCCGTAACACACCCTGCACCACCAGTATAGGCAGATAGCAATAAGTTCCTCTGTCTGGACACAGTGTCCGAGATTCTTTCCTGTTATTTCAGGAGTGAGGCAAGGCTGTGTCGTTGCTCCAACACTTTTCAACACTTGCATGGACTGGATTATGGGCTGAGCTACTATTCAAAGCCATTGTGGAGCAACTCTGGGTAATACCAAGATTACAGACCTTGACTTTGCTGATAATGTTGCTAGTCTGAGTCTCTGGAAACCCTAGTGGTGGCTCTGAATGCATTTAGTAATGAAGCAAAGCTCCTGGGTCTAGAGGTCTCCTGGACCAAGACCAAGATCCAGGACTTTGGGGACTTGCTAGGACAACCTGCTCAGTCAGTACGTGCTTGTGGCAAGGATATTGAAGTCACAGAGAGCTTTACATACCTTGGTAGAGTAGTTCATAACTCAGGGCTGTTAGACCAGGAAGTCAGCAGACGGATTGGCCTGGCAGTAGTGGTCATTAACTCCCTCGACAAAAGTATTTGGAGATGCCAGTACCTGTGCAGAAGGACCAAGTTACATGTTTTCAAAGCCCTTGCAATGCCAGTTTTGCTAAACGGTAGTAAAACCTGGACATTATCCTGTGTCTTGTCTTAATGCCCTTTGTAATAGGTCCTAGCACCGGATCATGGGGTACTGTTGATGGGACCACATGTCCAACCAACAGTTGCACTGTGAGGCTCGTACAGAACCTGTTACTTGCACACTCCGTGATCGCCAACTCAGGCTATGCAGCCACCTGGCTCGCTTTCAGCAGGATGATCCTGCCCACCAGCTTATCTCCGTATGAGACAGCCCTGGGTGGAGGAGGCATGTGGGATGACCTAGGAAGTCAAGGCTGGGGCAGATTGATCAGAGCTGTTGTGAGGAGCTTGAGATGGGCACTGCCAGGTGGATTGCCATGAGGGACTGTCAGATGATGACGATGGCATAATATCCTCCCTGGAGACAGCCCTCTCTCATGCATGACCTATGGATGGTACACTCCACCCTTGTGTACCAGTGGAAATACTTCAACACATAAACAAACCCCTTCCTGATGACCTGCAGAATCAATCTCCCTCCAGATGTACAACTATGGCCATAGGCTAATGATATGTTTTTCTAGTCCTATCCATCATGTCCATTGGGCATACCCACACAACTGGATGTGGCCTTGCCTACAGAAACAGCAGGAAAGAAGCAAAGATGTAAAAGCACTTCATCTCTAAATGTGAACAAAAACTGATCAGTGGTCAAAATGAGGTACAAATAAAACTCTAATTATGATTATTCACTTTGACTTACTTTTTAAATGCACTTGGACCATGTGCTATCCGGCTGGTTGCCACTGTCATACACTGACTGAACAGCTTTATTATTGAGAGAGAGAGAGAGAGAGAGAGAGAGAGAGAGAGAGAGAGAGAGAGAGAGAGAGAGAGAGAGAGAGAGAGAGAGAGAGAGAGAGAGAGAGAGAGAGAGAGAGAGAGAGAGAGAGAGAGAGAGAAAATAGAAGGTTAAGTTAAACGTAGACATTCAGGAATTTAATAAGCATATTAGCATAATATAAATATCACATTTATTGACAGCATTTTCATCATTTCACCTATTATAAACACATTAAACAGTATAACATTTTTTATTTTTTTTATTTCTTAACCACATTATGTTGGTTTAGTTCAAATTTTGTTGACAGGAGCTTACATCTGTTTAATAATCATTTCCTAATGTTCACAAGAGATAATGTTTAAATTGCCCTTCATCAAGCTATCAAGTAATCTTCATTTCACCGACTGACTAATAATATTTGCAATTAATGGTGCTTATGCATTTCTTAAATTATTCTGATGAACTTTCACCATTAAACAGCCAGAATATTTGGTTAAATCTTCGTACTCTTTATAATCTGAATGTTTAGATTACATAATTTTTTCATGTATATGAAATGTAAAAAAATACTAGTCTTGATAAAATGTAAAGCTACTGATAGATTCTGTTTTGTGTGTTTTATCTTTTAATTTTCCATAACAAGTAATCGTTCAAGTTGATGATGTTTTAAGTACTGTTATCGAAGACTAACATCACTACTAGAGTCCTCTTTCTTTTTAAATTACCACTAAAAAACCCTTTCATTTGAAATAAGGTTTCCATAGATTCAGAGTTTTTCAGATGTGTATAGTCAACAAGGCTGTTTCATTTTATAACAATATATTCAATTTCATCCTGCAGCTGAATGGCCCATGGTACCAAGTATCTTATTACATAAATGACTGAAAGTCTTATCATTAGCAGCCTTTCACATAAGAAATGACAGACTTTATGCTGGAGCCCCTTGATTTTTTTTAGTTAGCTCATGAACTCCTACTACCTATTCACACATCTAAGGTATATAAAATAAAATTTTGTTTCAAAATTTACATGTCTATAAACAAAATCTGCATGTAATTTTCATTGTCATGTGAGGTCAGCTTCATATTATGCATTTCCCTTAAAGTACAGTGAAAATTTTATAGTTGTAATTATTGTTTTTGTCATTAAGGTCAACTTTTTAAAATTAAATACAAACTTGACTTGTATGAAGACTTCTAAAACATTTTCAGTACACTGAAAGTGAAGTAATAAATAGGCTTGCATATGAATAGTTTTAGTAGAAGTAGCATATGTCAATAGTCACAAGAAATAATGCTTTACCACAAAGTTCAATCCTCTTTCAATTTCAATCAAATTTCTTGTCAGATTTTGTGTTGACCATAAAACTCTCATCTTCAGTAAACCAGTTATCTGTTATCAACATCCATTCACTTTCTTCTCATTAAAGCATGCAGTTAAAGGATTCACACATTGGTTCATGTCAATATCATGAACACACTACTACAAAAAGTAAAAAAAAAAATTAAAGACAGTCATTGATGTTCATGCAGAAACACATGTATTGATTCTCCTTTACAAACACAATATATTTTGCCACTAATGGAAAGAAAAGAAAAGAAAAAAAAAAAAAAAAAAAAAAAAAAAAAAAAAAAAAACAACAACAACAACAGCAAACACTATCTGGTGCTCCAGAAATTGTAATCATTTGCAATTTACTAACTTGTACAAGACAATGAATGAGAGTGAAATCCAATGCATAATGTATAATTAACAAATTAAGACTGGACAATGAAGATCATTCAAAAGGAAAAACAATAAAAGACATCACGATATTTGAAGATAATACATTGCTATGGGTAAATGCTAACAGAATAGAACAATATCAACCTTCAGAGATGATTTTGGGTCAGTACTGTGTATTATCTTAGATTAAATGCTGAAAATAAATCTTAATTACCTATTCATGAAAGAACTGAGATCAATTTGTTGACGTTGACTGAATAAAACATCAAAGTACTGCACAGCACCATGTAATATGTAACAGTTATGTCATAGTATACCCACAGCATAAAATTAATTCAGTTTTCTATTACGCTTTTCCTTTTTATTTGGCACTAACCCTTCTCATGCTTCCATTCAATATTATAAATATCCTACACTTTTATAAGCTTTCCTTCACAAACAAACTAATAAATAAATACAATTTATGATATAAATAGCTCCTCCTCATTACTTGTGACCACTGACATATCAAGACG